CCCCCACACACACAGCCTTCTTCTCTCCTGCTCTCCAGATCCAGACTGCAAACTCAGCCTGGGGACCAGACCCCAACCCGGTGGAAGGAGAATGGCCACCCTCACTGACACTGAGAGAACCATTCGCGCTTTCCATTCACGCTTTCCCTGGCTCCCTCTCCGGCCACTTCAGTGGGCAGCCATGTTGATCTGAAGAAACGGTGGAGTCTGACTGAACGGTTTCCAAACAGAAGAGAGTTTGAGTCCAGTCAGGCACCTTTGAGACCGACAAAGCTTGATTCTGGGCCTGGATTTGTGTGTGTGTGTGGGGGGGGGGAAGGTATTTGTGAACTTCCTGCCTTGTGCAGGGGGGGGCTGGACTAGATGACCCTGGAGGTCCCTCCCAACTCTCTGTGATTCTGTGATTCTTCAGATGCACACAGAGAGGCTTCTGCCCAGAATCAAACTTTGTTGGTCTTAAAGGTGCCTGACTGGACTTGAACGTTGTTCTGTCTGGTAACCGTTCAGTCAAAACCATCGTGATAGGCCGGCTCAGAGTAACCAGGACAGCCTGTGCCCCTCACAGCAGGAAGCCCTGGAGGGAGTGGATTTATTTCCCCACCACCACCGCCACTAAATAAGCCAGTGCTGGCTCTTAGCGAAGGGCAAATGCAGCCTTTAGAAAAGCCTCCAGACACTGAACCTCACTTGACTCTGCAGAAATAGCCTTTTGTTACTTGCAGGGGATTGCTTAGATCAAACAGCCTGAAATGTATGAACAAGAATAAAAGATTTTTATTATTATTGTTATACTATTGAAAGGAAATGTCTCTTTTTGTGCTGTAGAAGAAAAGCTATCAGGCTATGCGTGTTAGTTTTGATTAAGCAGAATTACCCATGGGAGGTGGAGCTTTAGGTACACGGCACCCCACCCACCCACCCGCCCCAGAGGCAGGACAGCACAGAGGGCCCCCGGGGGGCTGGGGGTTGTCCCACAAGGGTCCTTTCCACACTTGGATCTCATCCCCGGTTTCATCAGAGTTCAGTCCGCGACACAGTCCCTTGCATTCATCCCTGGTTACAACAGCATCCGCTTATCCCGGGACAAGTGTGGCGCAAAACAGGGGTGACCTCAATGTAATGTGGGAACAATAAAATACCCCGAGATAATTACAGGGGTGAACTCGCGTGTAAGTGCAGAATGTGAGTTCGGGGACAGGGTTGAGCCAGGATTGAAGGTCTGGTGCGGAAAGGACCAGGAAGACACAGCGGTGGAAGGGGTGACCCTCTCGGGGGGTTTGAAGATGAAAAAGGAAAGCAACTGGGTGAGGAGCACTTGTTGGGAGCAGCACGGTTATTTCTTCTGAGCCTTTTTCAGGTTAATCGGAACCACGCCCACAACAGCAGCAACAAGAAAACACAGCCCGCCTGATGGTGCTTTTGGAAAGCTCTCAAAGCTGCATTTTAAAACATTGTTTTTATGTTACTTGAAGATGTTATATCCTGGCTTTCAGCCCCCTAGAACGTGCAAGGTGGCGAACAGATGAAAACTGACAGCATCATTCCTAGAAGTGGGTGATGTCGATCCCATATACCCAGCGAGAAGCGATTAAAGCTGCCTGAATGCAGACGGCTCAGTTAAAACGAAGCGGTTCTGCCCTGGCACCTCGATGCCAAGGAAGAAGAGGCCGGATGCGGGCCTCTCGAGTTCTGTCAGTCAGGTCCCGGAAGGTTCTGCCCTGGCTTGTGAGCGGCTTCACCTCGGGCGGTGGGGCCACGCGGGCAAGGCCATCCGCTTAAGAAAGATAGGAATGGTCTTTGTGGAAAGAGCCATTTGGGCTCTTTAAGGAAAACGAAATCCCGGTGACCGTTTTGGTTTTTCTTCTGTTTCTCCTAGGAAGTCATAGAAGCTATTGCTGAGTGCGCATTCAAGACCTCGCCTTTCCCCATCCTCCTGTCGTTTGAAAACCACGTCGATTCGTAAGTGACTGAAGTACTTCCACACATATTCGATTTCAGCAAGTGGCTTCATGGTGTGGCAGATGGGCGAGGCTTTGGCCAAGGCAGGGGGCACTCGGTCCAGGCTCTGGAGGCAGGCCTCGGGGGGAGGGGACGCTTTTGGCTCAAGCACAGGAAGACACACGGAGGTGCTGGTTTGCAGGCAAACCAAATGGCAGCAGAGGGGGGGCGGACGGGAGGGTTGGGCGTGACCCGACGTTCTCAGAGCAGGCCTGGACTCGGCAATCCTGCCAGCCTCTCAGGGATTCTCCGTGGACTTAGCTGGTGGCTGGGCAGGTCTGGGGGGGCGGTGCCAGGTGATGGCAGGCAAGGCATCAGCCACCCCTCTTCCTTTCTGCCACCCCACTGGCCCCAGAAGTGCTGCCAGGGCCTCAGGTGCTTAGGCGGAGACCTGGCATGGGCACCAAGCAGAATGCTCCTGTCACATGTTGAAAAGAAGAGCAGAGATAGTCTGCGCACATCTTAGAATCATAGAGAGTGGGAAGGGACCTCAAGGGTCATCTAGTCCAACCCCCTGCACAAGGCAGGAAGTTCACAAATATGTCCCCCTCCACACACCCCGGTGACCCCTGCTCCATGCTTAGGTGATGACAAAAAACCTCCAGGATCTCCAGCCAAACTGGCCTGGAGAAAAATGGCTTCTTGACCCCAAAGTGGTGATCGGCATTTCCCTGGGTGTGGAAGAAGGGGCCACGAGAACTAAGCCCTTGAGGCAACCCTTCCTGCCCTCCCTTCTCATGATCTGCCTCAGTTCACAGAGTCCTTGGCCACCTAGCCTCCGTTTGAAAACCTCCCAAGAAGGAGAGCCCACCTCCTCCCGAGGAAGCCTGTTCCACTGAGGAACCCCTCTCACTGTCAGGAAGTTCTTCCTCATGTTTAGCCGAAAACTCTTCTGATAGAATTTCAAACCGTTAGTTCTGGTGTCCGACCTTCTGGGGCAACAGAAAGCAACTGCACACCATCCTCTGTATGACAGCCCTTCAAGGACTTGAAGATGGCTCTCATATCCCCTCTCAGTCGTCTCCTCTCCAGGCTAAACTCCAGGCTAGGACTTGGCCTCCAGACCCCACACCGTCTTCATTGCCCTCCTCTGGGCACGTTCCAGCTCGTCTGTATCCTTCTTAAATTGTGGTGCCCAAAGCTGAAGACAATCCTCTCGGTGAGGTCCAACCAGAGCAAAGAGTAAAAGCGATACCATCACTTCATGTGACCTGGACCCTACACTTCTGTTCATACAGCCCAAAGTCACATTTGGCTTTTTAAGCTACCGTTCGTTTCACTCCAAGGTTTTTGTTGTCAGGCAGGGCACGTGTGTTCGAACTAGGTCTCCCTTCACCTTTTAGGATGGGTGTGCCTTAATTCTAAATGCGTCACAATCAGTAGGGAA